CAAAAAACCTTTTGAGATATTTCGTGGGTTCGGGGGGTAGATTATGAAAAGGGAAGGTATTAGCACCCTTTTCATCCATGGTTATCCATGGGCTCTTAGTTACTTGGTTTTTTAGATCACTTGCCTTGATTTTCGATTGCTTGAAATTGTGGTGTGTGTGTGTTTTGAAAATGTTTTTGAAGAGATGCCTTGTCTTAGGCGACCAATGTATTCGACTCGTGTTTGAGTGTTTTACAAAAGTGTGTATCTTTTCGAAAAGATGTTTCAAATGTTTTTGAGAGTTTGTTTGAAAGTGTTGTGGATTGTGGTTTTTGAAAAGAAGGCAAGCGTTTTTGCAAGTTGATCTCAAGTAACTAAGAGTTTTATCTACCCTATTGTACTAAAAGGTTTTCTCTATGTTTTCAACCCTTTTTAACAATTTTGTTCCACCATTGTATTTGGTGGACAATCTCATGTTAGGATGTGAAAGGGATGGGCGCGGGTCATCGTTTAGACCATAATTGCAATGGTGCCAAGTGTCTTTGGCAATTAGCTTTGAAGGGACTATGATCATTCCGTTTAGGCAACATTCGAAAGCGTCATCGAGGGACTTATGATCATTTGAATTTATTTTGCCAAAGATACTCGACGTGCAAGCATGGCCCATTTTGGAAGGCAACATGTGGGATTACCCTAGAGGGTGCAAATGTGATTATGTATTGATTTCATGTATTTGTCTTGTATTAGGTTATCTAGCGTTTGATTTTATGTACATACAAACCCTAGGTCTAACCATGGTATAATTGAAAGCGGTAAATTGTGAAAATGTAAAGTCTACGCTATTACAAAATAAGTATCCGGGAGTGGGGGTACAAATTTATGAATGGGGATGAGACTTATAGTATCCAATAAGTTACAACCAAATCAAATTTGCGATCAAATGTAAATGACGTATATCAATGTATAAGATAAACAAATGTGTATAGGAGCAATGTAAATGTATTTGTATTGTGTAAGTGTGAGATGTATTGTGTAAGTAATTATTTACAGGTGCGATAATGTGAATTCAAATGTGTATTAAGGTATTGTTGACCTAAATATTTGTTTAATAAATCTTTGATTTGTATATTTTTAATATGTACAAAAAGAATGTTTTAATTAAAAGTTTCTTAATTAAACTATGTATATTAAAAAAAAGTATTTACTTATTATGTACAAAAATTTCTTAAGAAAGGAAAATGTATTTATTTTAAAAAAAGAATTTATGTACAAAGTATGTTTTAATTAAATATCAAGAATTGAATTATGTATATTAGAAAAAATGTATTTTTAAGTATTAATGTTTAAATTATTTTAATTAAAAAAAGAAAGGGTTGAGTTTATGTATAAAAGAAATGGGCTTGGAGGATTATGGTGGCCCAGAACAAAAGAGCCACGAATGGGGGGTGTTAACTGGAAATTAATGGGCTTAGGCATAGATGGTTGGGGCAAAGCCCATTTGCTTGAGACAATTAGTTTTTGTTAGGGTTCACTGAATGTCGTTCATTTGGGATTACATTTAGGGTTTGTGAGGCGCGCCGCTCGTGCTTGTCTTCTTCGTCTTCCTCGTTTACGCGTTTCTGAATTTCCCCTTTCGCCCAAGCCACCAACGCCATCATCATCTCCTCTCCCTCTTCGGTCCAACGAGGCTGTAAGGTGATATCTCTGTTTCAACGCATTTTAGGGTTTTTGAACTTTAAGTCTTGCATGTTTAATTTGTATTCCGATTTCGATTAAGTTTCGTTATTGATTCTGACCATTTGTGTCCTTTTTGTTCAAGGTGCGAAGAGAAGAAAAAAAAAAGTTACCTTCGTTGGAGGAGATGGTTAGGAGGCGTTTTGGAGGGCTCGACGGCGGAGAGAACGTGATTGTGAAGCTAGCTTACTTGGGGAAATCTGGTTTGTATCGTTGTCTCTTTAGGGTTTGATGATGACTTGAAAACCTTTTCCCCTTCTTTATCTCTTCTCCTCGCTGGCTTGCCTTCTGTTTATGTTGCCTTGAGATTAGTATGCTTCTGTTGCCTTAGATTTTCTCTCTTCTTCTGACTTGTTGCCTTGAGCTTGCCTTTGAAACTTTTGAGCTTGATAGTTGCCTTCTTTGCTCGTATGCTTATGTTGCTTGCTTTTTGATTGCCCTGTGATGATATCTTTCTGAGGGCTTGAATGCTATAACTGTAACATGCTATTGTTGAAGCCTTTGCTTTGATTAGCCTCTCTTCTTCTTCTTCTACTGTATGCTCGAATTAATGGCCCATGATGATGTTTGGTTTGTTCGCCTATGATGAGAGTTTCTCTGAGGCTTGTGATGTTGGATCTTTTTAGTGTTGATGAGATATGTTTTGAGTTGTTAGCTTTTGCAACTGGTAAGGTTTTCTGGTTATGGGCATATGCTGGTTTTTGTGATATATTTGGCTTTGAATGGTTAAGGTTTTAGGCCATGTATTGCTGGTTTATGCTTAGGCAGGTTCTGGTTTGATGAACTGGTTATTGGCTTTAGTGAGGCTTCAGGCAGGTTGTACTGGTTCTTTACAGGTTTTAGGCTCTATACAAGCTTAAGGCATCTGATAGTTTTGTTTGTTTTCTTCAGACAGGCCGGGTTCTTGAGGCTCAGCAGGTTTGAGGATTTATGGTGTATGCAGGATTTTAGGCTTTATGTTTGAAACTGTCTTGCTTCAGCAGGGTTTTTGGTTGTTTAAGCTTGAGGCTTAAAGGTTTTTTTTGACAGGTTATGGGGTTTCTGCTGGTTTGAGTTTAGGCCATATTGTTTTTTGTTTAGACAGTAGGAATGGTTTTATGCAGTGTGATGGTTGTTACTGGTTTACAGGTTTGTTGCTTGTGAAGTTTAAGGCTTATGCTTCAGTAGCTTGATGGTTATGTGTTTGTATATTTTGCTCTCCTTTTCTTCTACTGTGTTTAGTTCTCTTTGTTTTTATATTATCTTTCTATCTCTCAAGCCTAAAGCCTAAAAACCTGCTCTCTTTTCTCTTCTCTTCTCTCTCCAGTACACTTCAAAGAATATTAAAATGTTTTTGTGTGTACTTTCTGAAAGGGCCATTTGTTGGGAAATGATGAAAAGAAAATGTATGCTTGCATAATAGTTTTCCTCTGCATTCTTGTCTCTTCTTTTGACAGCTTTTTGTACTTTGTATCTTCTTTGATATCTTTGCCAAATCTTCTTTATTGACAGCTTGGGTAACCTTTTTGGCATTTTGACAGAAAGTTGAAGTTTGGATTTTTGGTTTGATTTGAACTTGGAGTTTTGAGATTTGGAACTATGCAGTATATTGACAAACTTTGCATTTTTCAATTTTGTGCATTCACGAATAGCAAATAAAAATTCTTCCCTCTTTGTGAACCGGGGGAAATCCCGTGATTTGCAGAGAGGGTTAACTGATCCCAATCAGTGGCCCTTAATGATGACTGTAATTTTATCTGTCTTTTCAATTCAATTTAACTGTTATTTGACTTTTCTTCTCTTATTTATTGCAGATGAATATTTGGATGGAGAGAGGTATTAAATGAAGAATGAAGAATTGGGGACTTAGAAAATATTTAGAAAAATACGATAGTTTTATTTTCAATTTAATCATTGTAACTATTATTATTATAAATACTTCGTAAATGAATACTTGTATCTAAATAATAATTGTAACAAATATTTAAATATGAAATAAAAATTCTATTGATCCATTTAATTCTTTTTATCCCTTTTCAATTATTTATTTATTATTTATAGTTCTTTAAATTAAAATAACTGAAAATTAAATTCCAGCTTTTTAATCTTTAGAATAATAAATAATTAACTAACATTGATTCAACGTCGATCAAATAATAAACTCGGCGCTTCCAACATCCAAAGCAAAGCACAGTCAAACACGATAACTGATCAGACGCATTCCCTTTTTACTGATTTCTTACCCTCCACTGCCAATCCAAACTGCATGTATCTTTTGACTATGTTCAATCAAACAAATGTGAATTCAAACCAAATGCCTTCTTTTACTGATTAAATCAAAACAATGCGAATTCAACCCGAATCTCGGAATAACTTGCAAAGTGCTGTAGAATTTAGATATTTTTGAGAACGCGCGCACAAACCCTAATTCCTTATTAAATGCCAAAGAGCATTCGCCTGATCAAAGTTGAACCAAAATCAACCAAAACCCTAAGCCAACTGTGTGAAACATTCCAGAGCCCTGAAAATCAGTAAAATCCTAATTTTTGTTTGGCTGACGAAAAAAAGTCCGTTTGTCCGATTCTTGAGCCAGTCTGAAAAATCAGGAAACGCCTGAAACTGTGATTTCTTGAGAAAAATGCGAGGGCAAATTTTGGGGTACAACAACTATCATATACAATATATTTGCCCTAGAATAATAAATGTTATAAACTCTTATAACAATTTATAAGAGAAAACTGAAAAGGAAAAAAAGTTAATTAATTTCAGATTGGTTGAATAATATTGGTTTCTCCCTTTTTAACATAAGAATCCATTTAAATTAAAATAATAAGCAATTAATTATTGATTGAAGCTTTGATATTTTCTGTTTTACTTATTTATTTTCAAATATTAAAACAATACTATATTTAAAATTTATCTCGTTTTTTCGATTGATTTTTTTCTTTATTGAAAGTATAATTTTAGTCAAAGTAATTATTAATCTATTCAAAAGAGATAAAATTTCGTTGTGTAAAAAAGATTTACAGATAGAAAAAACTAGCATTTTCTTTTCTCTACCTTTCGCGAAAGAACAATCGATCACAAATATCGGTGTCTAGTAAAAGAAATCAAAACACCTTCTTCTTCATTAAGCAAACTTTCGTCACTATTACTGTAAACCACCTATCTCTTTTTCTTTCACAATCTCAAATTCTCCATAACCGTTTTCAACACGCTATTGTTAAATTACCATAAACCCCTCACTGTTTTCTTGATGCTACTCCCACCTTCACACTCTTAGTACTTTCTCGATTCTTCGCATCGCGATGGCGGAAAACCTCAATGTTCTCGCCGACGCTCTTTCTCAACCGTCCGGCGAGTTTCTTCACAAGCTCCGCTCCGATGACGCTGTTAGGTTAGGTCTCGATGCATTCTACTGTCTTCTCCGTCGCGGCATCGAGTCCTCCGGCGATGGAAGTTTGTGTCTCCAGTCGTGGACTGATTCTCAGATTCACGCGGTTTCTTCTCTCGCTAACGCTATCGCTTCCTCTTCTCGATCTTTGTCAGGTACTTGTTTATGTCTATCATCTTCATCATCATCGAAACGAACTTCAATTCTTCGTTGCTGTTGCGTGATTTAGCTTGTTCGTATGATCCTTGTTATTGCTAATTGCTAATTTCTGATCGATGAACTATATTCTGTTGTTACTTTTTTCGAAGTTTTTGGAAATGATTTTATGCATAGTGTTGTTTTTCTATTTTTTTTTTTTTCGGTTGAGTTTTTGGTTGTTTGTGTGAATAGTTGAGAAATGCTTGATTTAGCTAGTTCGGATGATCCTTGTTGTTGTAATTGCTAATTGTTGATCGACGAACTATATTTGTTGTTGCTTTTTTCTGAGAGTTTGGAAAAGTATTTATGCGTAGTACTTTTTTTTGGTCTCGTGTTTTGGTTGTTTGTGTGAATAGTTGAGCAATGTGTGATTTAGAATGTGTGATTTAGCTCATTCGTATGATCCTTGTTGTAATTGCTAATTGTTGATCGATGAGCCGCATTTTTTTGTTGTTGCTTTTTTTTTTTGTGTTTAGAAATGATTCTATCGTGTTGTTTTTCTAACTTTTTTTCGGTTTGTGTTTTGGTTGTTTGTGTGAATAGTTGAGAAATGCGCGATTTAGCTCGTTTTTATGATCCTTGTCGTTGTAATTGCTAATTGTTGATCGATGAGCCAGATTTTTTTTGTTGCTTTTTTTTGAGTGATGGAAATGATTTTATGCATATTGTTTGTTTATCTGACTTTTTCTTTTATCTGTTGTGTTTTTGGTTGTTTATGTGAATAGTTGAGCAAGCGGAAGGAGTACTTGTTGCGATTGTGCAGCAGTCTATAGAATTTGCTCTGTGCTATTTGGAGAAATCTGGATTTGATGATGATGATCTAGGAATTCAGGTATGCTTTCCATATTTTAGAAGTCTGAAAGTTTTGTAGTATGGAAGTTTGATGAAAAGCAGTGGGCATGGTTTATTGAATTTTTAGTATGATTTAAATGAAGTCTAATTTAATTTATTCCTTTTTCTTTAACCTTTCTCTTGATTTGTCTGTTGTTTTCTGTTTGATCGATGAGTATTCGTTAGGTCCATTAGGAACTCATTGTGAAGGTTTTAAATTGTGGTTGAGATTTGAATGATGAAAATCTAGGTCTAACAGGCTTCAATCTGATGAAGAGTAGTTTGCATGGCTTTTTGAATTTTGAGTATGATTTTAATGAAGTCTAATTTTATTTATTCCTTTTTCTTTAACCTTTCTCTGGAATTGTCTAATGTTTTTCTGTTTCATCAATGAGTTTTCATTAGTTCTGTTAGAAACTCATTCCCAAGGTTTTATTGTGGTCGCGGTCGCATTCTTAAAATCTAGGGAAAATAGGCTTCTATTGCGGCTGTAGACTTCAAACACCTTGTTGGAGCCGACATTTCGCCAACCTGTTTTTTAAAACCCTGCTTGTCGTATGCGCATCTTAGCTTATTTGCATAATCATAATTGGAATGTTTGAATGAATAAGATACCCAATCCAATTATTAAGCTCAAAATCTTAGGGCCTACTATACGACAAGAGTGCGTTAAAGAGTAGCGTGCTTGGTTTATTAGACTTTCTGCATTTATTTTGTTGAAATAAAGATGAATGCGAAATGCTAAATAATATTAAGTTTATAAATAATTCATTAATTTCTTTATATGTCTGCAGAAAAATAATAACGGCAAAGGGGTTTTAAAGATGTTTAATTCAGTCCTTTTTCTTTAATCTTTCTCTGGACTTTTTGTTGTTTGTTCGATTGAGGATTATTTATTCCTCCCACTAGGATTCCATCATCAATGTTTTAAATTGCAGTTGTGGTTGCATCATGATTGTTGATATTTCTTAGAACTGTGATTAAATGTAGCCTCAGTTGCGGTCGTAGAGACTTCAAATACCTTGACGTCGCTGCTGAATTTCGAAAACCTTTTCTTTAAATCTCACCCGTCATATGATTATCCTAGCTTGTTTGCACAGTCATAATTGGGAGGCGGAAATGAATATGATATCTAATCCAGTTATAAAGTTAAAAATCGTAGTAATTGCTTTTTGAAAAGATTGCATTTGAACCTTTAACTATGTTGAAACTTAATGGAGCAACAACACCAAATATTTTTTTGTGGAAAATAGACTTGTCAGCTGTATAACCACCCCGATGGATTGCGCGCGCACACACATACACTCACATGTTAAATAGGTGAAATATATATCATTAAGGAAGGAAGGTTGGAAGCTACAGTATAGGGAGAGGGCATGTCCTCTTCCCAATTGATCCCTATAGGATTTCAGTGTTTTATTTTATCTCTATGGTGGAGTACTTGCTCAATGCTCAACCAGTATGGTGGAGAAAGGTAAAAATTAATAAAAGTGATGTTGAGCAACCACTAAAGAACAATAAAAAGAAGTTAGACGGAATAAAAATTGATTTCTTAGAGTTCAGTAAACCATATTGTTCTAAGCCTTTATTGGATACTTATTAATCTCTGGGACTAAATTGAGTTTTGGGCCTGATTTTATTTATCTTGCCTCATGCATAGCTGCTGTATGGTGTGTGCTAATAGGTTTTTCTGATTTCTATACCTGGGTAGGGGAGGAGCAAAGGATCTCTCCTCAAATTCATTTAGATGACAAAAAACAAGTCTGACCGGCATAGCTTAAATTTATTTTATTGTGTTAGAACTTAGTGTCTCGGTCTATGTATTTTTCCGGTAGAGTGGTGGCTATTTTTGTGTATCACTAATTCATCTTGAACCTTTCAGGCCAACATGATACATCTTTTAGAGATAGCTTTGGTTGATGGAGTAAATATGGTAGTGGACATATTACAACCTACAACTGCAAGTTCCTTAGTAGATTTGCTGCCAATGGTTGATGATTGTTGTGGTGATTATGCGGATGACTACAAAAAATGCCGTTTAGAAGGTATTATGTTAATACTCAATAATCACCCCACTGTTGTCTTGTCACGGTTTTCCTGCGTACCTAACCATGGGCTCATTTTCTTTTTTTTTCTTCATTTTTTTACTGATTCGTAAAAGGCTTCCGGTGCTCAATGGAAGAAAAATCAATGGATTGGCTTCTGAAGACATTAGCTTCTAAACACATGCCACATGATAGGCAAGAATCTGGATTCAGTGAGCAGACTTATCAATATCTCAACACTTTTGTCTTTCTATCCCAGCACTGGGCAGTTGTCCATGGAAAATGCACTCCTCGCGTGATCTTGCTGTGCAACAAACTAGCTAAAGTACAAGATGCATTTGATGAGCGGGCACTGGGCCAAAATTTTCGAAGGAGGCTATCATTCATTTTGAGAATGTTGAAGATACTTGGAAGTCTCATGACAGATGTTCCATATGTTGAATATGACACGTCATTGTTGAGTGCAGTCGCCTCATTTACCGATACTTTGTCTAATTTGTTTAGGATTAAACTCGAGTTTGTGAATACATATGCTACTATTGAGGGAAGTTTAGAGAACACTGTTTTAATGATTACAGAAGAGTTTCTTCATGATGTTCTGGTTATTTTCGGTAATAGCAATGTAGCTGAGAATATCCAAGCATGTGTTGTAGCATCTATACTAGAGAGTTTGGATTCTTCTGTTTGGATTTATGACAAAACTGATCCAAATTCAAAGCCCCCCTTGGCTTTTTTCCCCCAATTTGTTGTTTATACTCTGAAACTCATTAATGATCTGAGAAAACAAAGGCCCCAGATTCCTTTTGAGCAAAAAGACTTTGATGTAGAACTTGTTGGCAGCTCTACTGACTTTTCATGCCTTGTTCATCGTGGGACTGTTCCTTTGCTGAAGGGACACACTTTTGAAGAGCTTATAAAACTGATATTTCCTCCATCAAGCCAATGGATTGAAAATTTGATGCAGCTTTGTTTGTTCCTTCATTCTGAAGGATTGAAATTTAGACAAAAAACAGAAAGGTCCCATTCTAGTTTTGCAAAAGTTGCTGGACCATCCGAAATTGAAAATGCAGTGTGCCATGAGGATGAGGCTCTTTTTGGAGATCTTTTTTCTGAGACAGTGCGTTCTGTTGGATCTACAGATGGATGTGAACATGCACCGGCTGCTGCCTTAGTTTCTAACTCCAACAATCAGAATATGCCAATTCAGGCTGCTATAGAACTACTGAGCTTTGTTAAAGCATGTATCTTCTCTACCGAATGGCATTCTTCTCTTTTTGTTGATGCTTGCAGTAAACTCAGTAGTAGAGACATTGATATTGTGCTTTCCTTACTCAATTGTCATGGCTGTTGTTCTGAAGATAATATGTCTGATGGTTGTATCCCTTCAAATGAAGATGGGAAGATTGGGCTCATCCATGAACTATGCTTTGATCTTCTGCACAACCTTCTCACAAACCATACATTGAGTGATTCACTTGAAGACTACCTTGTGGAGAAGATCCTTATTGTTGAAAATGGTGCTTTTAATTACAACGATAGGACTCTCACCTTGCTTGCTCACACACTATTTAGTAGGGTTGGTTCTGCTGGCAGTCAGTTGAGGGCCAAAATTTGTAGGGGGTACGTTGCCTTTGTTGTCGAGAAGGCAAAATCTGTTTATGTAAATTGCCCAAGCATCAATGAACTCATTGTTACTCTCCCTTCATTGTTTCATATTGAGGTAGTTCTTATGGCCTTCCATTTGTCATGTGAAGAAGAAAAGGGAGTGATGACAAACTTAATATTTTCAACCCTCAAAGAAGTTGCTAACCCAGTATTGAATTTGAACGGCTCATTATTAACATGTTGGGCTTTAGTGGTTTCAAGATTGATCTTAGTTCTTCGTCATATGATATTTCACCAACAGACTTGTCCTACATCATTGCTTGTAGATGTGCGGTCTAAGTTGAGGGAAGCACCACTGTCTATCCCATCTTCGCTAAATAAAGTTAATGATCACATGTCATCTTGGTCATCAACTGCATTAAAAAGCATTACAGGTGGATTGGTGGCAGAGGAGGTTTTTATCGGTAGCTTGATTGGACAGTTAATTGATGTTTCTGAATCTTCTGCTCCTCTTAGCGTGGATGATTTGATGATTGACAAATTAGCTCTGAATTGGAAGGACATATATTGTACTTTTTCACTGATTCTTGGATTTTGGAGAGGCAAAAAAGCCACTACAGTGGAGGATCAAATTGTTGAAAGATACATTTTCAACCTTTGTTGGGATATTCCTTATATGGGCTCTGAAGCAGACCATCCAGTTATATCTTGGAATCAAGGGCAATCTGTAGATCTATCTGATATGTTACATTTTTTCCACTTCAGCCATTTACTCCTAGGCCATCCAGAGGTCCTTGGGAACTTCACTAATATTCCAGATGTTGTATTGAGCTTGCTTCAGAATTTAAATGCTTTGCCCGTACCAGAAGGCATTGAGGAATTAGGTTGGGATTTCCTCAGAAGTGGAATGTGGCTGTCTCTACTGCTTTCATTCATTAATGTTGGCATATGGAGATATTGTATTGACAATGCAATTTCTGGACACGGTTTAACCTGGACTGAGAGTGCATTTGGGGATGAGAAATATGTTAAACATGCTGGAAGCATGATTTCCTCCATGATTGACTCTGGTCAATTTGTATTGATAGTAAGGCTGTTCTCATCCTTGCTAAACAAATATGTGCAAATTTATCAGAAAGCTTTCCTAGATGTCCTAAGTTACAGACAGAAGGTTGCTCCAGGGTTCTTACCACTCTTACTGCTGAAATATACTGGAATTGACAAAAGCCTTCAGGATGAGCTCTTGGAGAGGAGTGGTTCAAATGCAGGTGAGCTGCAGTCTGTTTTGAGCCTCGTATCAAGGTTAGGCGCCGCTGTTGATAAAAAAGCTTCTAGAATTCATCCCAGAGCTTATTGGGAGTGCATATTACATGGTTTACCTTTAAACATTTCTACTTCTAGTGCGGCTCTGCTCTCTTGTGTTCTTAGTGTAAGAGGAATCATCTTTGTTCTAGACGGGTTACATAAAATAAGAGAAGAAGGAAGAAACATTGATTCTGAGACTGAAGTCTTTTTACAAATTGTTGATACAATAATGATTATCAAGTGCGATAAAGTTTTTGAAAGTGTTCATCAGAAATGTGACACTATGTATCCCAGCTCAAGTGCTGAACTGGAATTGTCAAATTACACAAACTTAGTTCTAATGAAGCAAATGGAAGGGTTTCTGAAGGACATGAATGTTAGAGGAGCAAGTGATTGCTTTATCCACGAATGGATAATCTGTAAAATGGTTGAGATATTAAGCAGTCTTAGAAAAGATCCTTCAAAGTCTGTTATATTTCACTTTTGTCTTGGTGTTGAAAATGTGCCTGGGCAGATGAGTAAGCTGTTGCAGTTGCATCTTGGTGACTGTTTGGTTTTAATTGACTCCCTAGATACATGTTTCTCTGAATCAGTGAATGTGAAAGTTCTTGGTTTCTTTGTAGATCTTTTATCTGGAGAGCAATTTCCTCATCTCAGAATGAGGATACAAAGGAAATTCATTGACAGAGATATACAGAGCGTATCTAAATGGTTGGAGAAAAGGCTTTTAGGAAGCATAATGAAATCAGATAGTGGGGTGAACAGTGCAAAGGGGAGCTCCATTTCTCTCCGAGATTCAACCATGAATTTTATTTTATGCCTAGTATCACCGCCATCTGAAAAACAGTCGATAGCGTTGCAACATCATATTTTCAATTCTGCACTGCTATTACTTGATAATGCGTTTTTGCTATTCGATATACATGTGGCCAAGTCATATTTCAATTTCATTGCTCAAATTTCAAGGGGAGAGTTCTTGATGAAACAGCTTTTGACGAGGACTGTAATCTTGATGGGGAAACTGGCGGGAAATGAGGGTTTGCTTCCAGGACTCAAGTTTCTATTTGTCTTTATTGCAACTGTCTTGGACGAATGTGGATCTGGTAAAATTTCCTTGCAAAGGACAACTAAGAAATGTTATTCTGGCAATAGCGCTGGGGCGGGTCATGCGGCTGCTCAAGTGGTTGGGTCCAGAAAAAATTCCGAGACATTCATTGTTTCTTCCAATCAAGGTGGATCAGCCTCTCTAGAATGTGATGCTACTTCTGTAGATGAGGATGAGGATGATGCAACTTCTGATGGAGAGGTTCTTAGCATAGATAAAGATGATGAAGAGGATGCCAACAGTGAAAGGGCCCTTGCCTCTAAAGTTTGCACATTTACTTCCAGTGGAAGCAATTTCATGGAGCAGCATTGGTATTTCTGCTATACATGTGACCTAACTGTATCAAAAGGTTGTTGCTCAGTTTGTGCAAAGGTTTGTCATCGAGGTCACCGTGTAGTCTACTCGCGCTCAAGCCGCTTCTTTTGTGACTGTGGAGCTGGAGGTGTTAGGGGTAGTAATTGTCAATGTTTGAAACCACGAAAATTTACTGTAGATAACAGTGCACCTGTTCGTGGTTCTAACACATTTCAGTCATTTTTACCCTTTACTGAAGATGGAGATCAGCTGCCAGATAGTGATTCAGATTTTGAAGATGACATAAATGTAGATGTAGATAACTCACTCAAATTATGTATTACAAAAGAGCTTCAAGAAGGGATTCCATTGTTATTGGAAGAACTTGATGTTGAGAGTCAGGTGCTCAATCTTTGCTCCGCCTTGATGCCATCAGTAATTAGTAGACGAGACTTCCACCATTCTAAGGATAAGAATGTCGGTTTGGGTGAAGACAGAGTGATTTCTCATGGCATTGATCTCTTGCAGTTGAAGAAAGCTTATAAAAGTGGATCATTTGATCTCAAGATAAAGGTTGATTATTCTAATTCCAAGGATCTCAAGTCACACTTAGCAAACGGTTCTCTTGTGAAGTCCTTGCTCAGTGTTAGTGTACGTGGTCGGCTCGCCGTTGGTGAAGGTGATAAAGTTGCTATATATGATGTTGGGCAGTTAATTGGCCAGACCACCATTTCACCTGTGACAGCTGACAAGACCAATGTAAAACATCTTTCTAAAAATGTTGTCCGCTTTGAAATTTTACAACTCGTATTCAATCCTGTGGTCGAGAATTATCTTGTTGTAGCTGGTTATGAGGATTGCCAGGTCCTGACACTGAACCCTCGCGGTGAAGTGATTGACCGCCTTGCCATTGAACTTGCTTTGCAAGGTGCATATATTAGACGGGTGGAATGGGTTCCAGGCTCACAAGTTCAATTAATGGTTGTGACTAACAGATTTGTCAAGATATATGACCTGTCCCTGGATAACATCAGTCCAGTGCACTACTTCACTTTGTCAGACGACATGATTGTGGATGCCATTCTCTATACAGCTTCCCGGGGCAGAATGTTTCTTGTTGTTCTGTCAGAAAGTGGAAACATATTTAGGTTTGAGTTGTCAGTCAAAGGGAATGTTGGTGCTGTGCCATTAAAAGAACTTGTACAACTCAAGGGAAGAGAAATTCACGCAAAGGGTTCATCATTGTACTTTTCTTCAACTTGCAAGCTACTCTTCATATCTTTTCAAGATGGTACCACACTGTTAGGTCGACCAAGCTCTGATGCAGCCTCCCTTGTAGAGATGTCTTATGTATTTGAGGAGCAAGAAAGTAAGATGCGGCCCGCTGGAGTACATCATTGGAAAGAATTATTGGCTGGCAGTGGATTATTTGCTTGCTTATCAACTGTGAAGTCAAATTCTGCACTTGCGGTTTCCCTGGAGGAACATGCTGTACTTGCTCAAAGTATGAGGCATTCAGTGGGTTCAACCTCCCCTATAGTTGGAATGACTGCATACAAACCACTATCAAAGGATAAAATTCACTGTCTTGTCTTACATGATGATGGTAGCCTTCAAATATATTCTCATGCTCCTGTGGGCGTGGATGCTGGTGTTATTGCAGCATCTGAGAAAGTGAAGAAATTGGGTTCTGGCATCCTTACTAAAGCTTATGCTGGGACAAATCCTGAATTTCCTCTTGACTTTTTTGAGAGGACCATATGCATCACATCAGATGTAAAACTGGGCGGCGATGCCATCAGAAATGGAGATTCTGAAGGAGCCAAACAGAGTTTGGTAAATGAAGATGGATTTCTAGAAAGTCCTAGTCCTGCAGGTTTTAAGGTATCCTCTATCACTTAGCAAAGCGAATATATTACTGTACTTTGTGGCATGCTCTTTTTTAGTCTGAGGTTAGAGATAACACTGTAGAACACCCCAGCCTAGCGTGTGTTTGACAACCTTTAAACACTAGATATTTGGTTGCACTCTGGCTTTTTTGTAGATGCGAGTTGTTTGGTTATCAAGTAAATTTTAAAATAGTGAACTAAGTTTAAGATCAAGCTAGCTCTTAAAAAGTCCAACTGAAGTTTTTTGAATTATGACCACTCAACTGAATCTAAGTGTAGTTATTAGATGAAATCTAGTTGGTGAGATCACTCATTCCTCTGATGGTCAATAATAAGCATGCCAATTTTTTTTTGAATTGTGACAATGATAATCTTCTGCATGCTCAATAATAGTTAGTTTTGAATCCTACCTATTGGGAAAATGTTTTTGTTGCATTGGAGTTATGTTTAAGCATTTTTAAACCAAACTTAAACCCTAATATTGAACTGCTTAGTTTTCGTTATGCTCTGTGCAACTAGTTTGAACACCACCAATTTAAAGTAGTTTAGAAATTTCCAAATAATCCCTTATGATGTCAATAACGATGCCTGTTATTCTTTTGAAAAGGAACCAAAATGAAGCTTTTCTAATAATGTGGTGCTTGTCTTTTTAATAGATACTCCATGAATTTGATGTAATCGTATCATATCCCAAAATTTACCAACTTTAGGGGTAATTCTGTGTATGTCTAGTAGTGGAATAAAAGTGTGTTTGGATAATAATTTTGAAAAAGTAGTTTTGATCCCTCGAGAGAATAACTTTTTTTGCTATTAGAGAGATACATAGTTTAGTCTAGCTTTCAGTATTAGAAATGAGCTTATATTTCTATTGTATATTCTAGCTTAGCTGTCATCTAGTTAGTTAGACTAGTATATATATATATATATATATATATATATATATATATATATATATATATATATAGCGGAATGTTGTTATTTAGCGGAAGTCAACTAATTACTTCACAGTTTTCTAGGTATTGGGTTTAATACTATAAATGATTCAAAATTCGTATTTTATAACTGCATGGGTTATATCTAGAATACTATAATAGATACATTCTAAAATGGTTACATGGTAGGTGAATTTTGTTTCACAATGACGCAGTTCCAAACAATTATATTTTTGTGATAATGTCATCACTGCAACAATGTCAGCTTCTTTTACTGATGTGTGTCTGTCTTTCAAGTGGTTGGATACATCACTTTCGTTTCTCTGATTTTTTTTAATACATTTTCACAGATATCTATCTTCAATTTAAACCCTGATATTGTCATGGTTGGTTTCCGAGTTCATGTGGGCAATACATCGGCAAGCCACATACCTTCTAGTATTTCTATTTTCCAGAGGGTTATTAAATTAGATGAAGGAATGAGGTCCTGGTATGATATTCCATTTACTGTTGCGGAGTCTCTTCTTGCAGATGAAGAATTTTCAGTGTCAGTTGGGTCAACCTTTAATGGCTCAACACTTTCCAGAATAGATTCACTTGAAGTTTATGGCCGAGCTAAAGATGAATTTGGTTGGAAAGAGAAAATGGATGCAATTTTAGATATGGAAGCAAGAGTACTTGGTTCGAATACATCACTCGGTGGATCTGTAAAGAAGCGCCGATCAATGCAGTCTGCTCCTATTCAGGAGCAGGTAATAGCAGATGGGCTAAAGCTGATTACCAAGGTTTATTCATCATGCAGGCAACAAGATTGCACAAGGCTTGAAGAAGCAAAAACAGAGCTGGGAAAACTCAAGTGCAAACCATTACTAGAAACAATATTTGAGTGTGATAGGGAACCTATTCTGCAGGCTTCTGCTAGTCATGTTTTACAAGCAGTTTTCCCCAAGAAAGAGATATACCATCAAGTAACATATACAATATCACTTGGTTCTCTATTTTGTTATTTCTACTTCATGTCAATGTTATGCTAATTATCTTGACTTTTCTCACATTAGGTTAAGGATACCATGCGACTCCTTGGAGTGGTCAAATCATCCTCACTACTGTTGTCAAGGCTTGTGATAGGCGGTACTTCAGGAAGTTGGATCATCGAAGAGTTCACTGCTCAGATGCGTGCAGTTTGTAGGATTGCATTGCAACGCCGTTCAAATTTAGCAACATTTCTGGAGACAAATGGTATTGTTTAGTTCTTGCTGATTAAATTTAAATATATAGATAAGGAGACATGCTTGGTCAATATAAACAATCCTTTGCATGCAATTATTTTATTGAGATACTTCTATACTTCTTTTATGTTGTAATTTGTGAAATTTATAATAAACCTTTATTAGAATTTAGTATAAGAATTTCATCTCAACTAGACCTTACAACTGATTCTTGAAATTTTAGAGTTGATATCTGCACCGATCATATTTGCTGTTAAGAGTGGGTTACTAAGGTTTTATATATTTCGCATGGCTGGTTCTTGCTACATTCTTTATATATGCTACCTATCAGATTACGGTATCTTAAGTGACAGAGGTACTATTATTATGAGTCAAGAAAAAAGAGTGTGTCATAAAGAGTCCTACATCAAATGAGATATGGCTGGAATATATGTTTATATGTGAGAGCAATCCTCACCTTACGAGTCTGATCACAATTTTAAGATTGCCATATGCTATTGGGGTTTTGTTTGCGGACCACCCACAATTTATATCCACACACCAAGCCCAGTGGTACTACGTGTGAAGGGTGTGTTTATAGAGTTCCACATTAGATGAAATATGGCTTGAATATGTATTTATAAGTGAGGGCAATCCCTGCCTTACAAGCCAGTTTTGTATGGTTGAGTTATAGACCCAACCTATTCTAAGAGAGTGAATATTGAATAGTTATTTGTCCAATGTGGGATATAATTACTACCATTTGTACATTATATTAACTGCTTTTGCTGGTGTAGGCTCAGAGGTGGTGGATGCACTTATGCAAGTCTTATGGGGAATTTTGGACTTTGAGCAGCCAGACACACAAACCATGAACAACATTGTTATGTCTGCAGTTGAACTTATTTATTGTTATGCTGAATGCTTGGCTCTGCATGGAAAAGATTCAGGAGTTCACAGTGTAGCACCTGCTGTTGAATTACTCAAGAAGCTTCTTTTTTCGTCCGATGAAGCTGTTCAGACTGCTAGCAGGTATTTTTTCTCATTCCGTTTTCTTTTTTGTATTCAAAATTTGATTTTTCAGTTTTTTTAACATTTCGTTTCTTTCAGTTTGGCCATATCTTCGAGATTGCTCCAGGTCCCTTTTCCAAAGCAGACATTGTTAGCTCCAGATGATGGTGTTGAGAGTGTAGTTCCAGTTTCAGGCTCAGCTGACACAAGTGCTAGAAATAACCAAGTCATGGTTGAAGAAGACACTATCACTTCATCTGTTCAATATTGTTGTGATGGTTGTTCTACTGTACCTATACTCAGGCGAAGGTGGCATTGCACTATTTGTCCTGATTTTGATTTGTGTGAGGCTTGCTTTGAAGTACTAGATACAGACCGACTTCCTCCACCACACTCTAGAGATCATCCTATGACAGCAATTCCAATTGAAGTGGACTCAGTGGGAGATGGCAATGAATTTCACTTCACACCTGATGATGTTAGTGACTCACTGCCTGTACCGGCTGATAGCAACATGCAGAGTTCTTCTCCCTCAATTCATGTCTTGGAGCCCAATGATTCTGGAGAGTTTGCTGCAGCATTGACTGATCCAGTCTCAATCTCTGCTTCAAAACGGGCAATTAATTCCTTGCTACTTTCTGAACTTCTTGAACAATTGAAAGGATGGATGGATTCAACCTCTGGAGTCCGAGCAATTCCTGTTATGCAGCTTTTCTACAGGCTCTCATCTGCTGTGGGGGGACCTTTCATAGACAGCTCAAAGCCCAACAGTTTAGATTTAGAGAAACTAATCAAATGGTTTTTGGATGAGATTAATCTCAACAAACCATTTGTAGCCAGAACCCGGTCTTCAATTGGGGAAGTTGCAATCCTGGTCTTCATGTTTTTCACATTGATGCTTAGAAATTGGCATCAGCCTGGTAGTGATGGTTCCATGCCAAGACACAGCGGAACTACTGATGTTCATGATAAAAATGTAATCCAACATTCTTCATCCACTTCCAAGACTTCAGTTGATGACCAAGAGAAGAACGACTTTGCATCACAGCTGCTTCAAGCATGTGATTCTCTTAGGCAGCAATCTTTTGTAAATTATTTGATGGATATACTGCAGCAACTAGTGCATGTTTTCAGATCTCCTATTAACAGTGAAGGTGGACATAGTAATGCTGGACCTGGATGCGGGGCTTTGCTTACAGTACGTAGAGATTTACCCGCTGGTAATTTTTCACCTTTCTTTTCTGATTCGTATGTGAAAGTGCATCGAACAGACATCTTTATGGACTACTACAGGCTTCTACTAGAGAATGCTTTTCGACTGGTGTACACACTTGTTCGACCAGAAAAACATGACAAGACTGGAGAAAAGGAAAAAGTCTACAAGCTGTCTTATGGTAAGGATTTGAAGCTAGATGGATATCAAGATGTTCTCTGCAGTTACATCAACAATCCTCATACCAACTTTGTTAGAAGATATGCCAGGAGGCTTTTCCTGCATCTCTGTGGGAGCAAGTCTCACTATTACAGTGTACGGGACTCTTGGCAGTACTCTAGTGAAGTGAAGAGACTTTATAAACACGTAACCAAGTCTGGTGGTTTTCAAAATAATCCAATTCCATATGAAAGAAGTGTGAAGATTGTGAAGTGCCTTTCCACTATGGCAGAAGTAGCAGCTGCACGTCCTCGGAACTGGCAAAAATACTGTTTAAGGCATGGGGATATTTTGTCTTTCTTGATGAATGGAATATTTTATTTCGGTGAAGAGTCTGTGATTCAGACTCTTAAACTTCTCAACTATGCCTTCTATACAGGAAAAGATGTTGGTCAAACTTCACAAAAACCAGAGTCAGGAGACTCAAGCTCAACCAAATCGAGTATTGCGTCTCAAGATTCAAAGAAGAAAAAGAAAGGCGAAGATGGGGCTGAATCTGGTTTGGAGAAGTCCTATTTGGATATGGAGGCAGCAGTAGATGTCTTCACTGACAAGAGTGGCAATACCTTAAAGCAGTTCATAGATAGTTTTCTTCTGGAGTGGAGTTCAGTTACTGTGCGTGCAGAGGCTAAATTAGTTTTATATGGTGTCTGGCATCATGCCAAACCAATGTTTAAGGAAACTATGCTATTGTCTCTCTTGCAGAAAGTCAAGTCCCTCCCAATGTTTGGCCAGAATATTGTGGAGTATACAGAACTTGTTATTTGGTTGCTTGGAAGATCCCCAGATACTAGTTCAAAACACAAGATTTCTGAGCTTGTAGACCAATGCTTGACTCCTGATGTAATTAGGTGCATCTTTGAGACACTTCATTCACAGAATGAGCTGTTAGCTAACCATCCAAATTCTCGCATATATAATACTTTGAGTGGCTTAGTGGAATTTGATGGATACTATCTTGAGAGTGAACCTTGCGTTGCCTGCAGCTCTCCAGAAGTACCTTACAGCAGGATGAAGCTGGAATCCCTGAAATCAGAAACAAAATTCACTGATAATCGCATCATAGTGAAATGCACTGGAAGTTACACAATCCAGACTGTGACCATGAATGTTCATGATACCAGAAAGTCAAAATCAGTGAAGGTTTTGAACCTATACTATAATAACAGACCAGTTACTGACTTATCAGAGTTGAAAAATAATTGGTCTTTATGGAAGCGTGCAAAAAGTTGTCATCTTACATTTGATCAGACTGAGCTTAAAGTTGAATTTCCTATTCCAATCACAGCTTGTAACTTCATGATTGAACTGGATTCATTCTATGAAAATCTTCAGGCTTTGTCTCTCGAACCATTGCAATGCCCACGTTGTAGTCGTCCAGTCACAGATAAGCATGGTATATGTGGAAACTGTCACGAAAATGCATATCAATGCAGACAATGCCGCAACATCAATTATGAGAATTTGGACTCTTTTCTGTGCAATGAGTGTGGGTACAGCAAATATGGGCGGTTTGAGTTTAATTTCATGGCGAAGCCAAGTTTTACATTCGATAACATGGAAAATGATGAAGATATGAAAAAGGGATTAGCAGCCATAGAATCTGAGTCAGAGAATGCTCATAGGCGATATCAGCAACTTTTGGGCTTCAAAAAGCCCTTGCTTAAAATTGTATCAAGCATTGGTGACAGTGAAATAGACTCACAACAGAAGGATTCTGTGCAGCAAATGATGGTTTCTTTACCTGGCCCCTCGTGTAAAATCAACCGGAAAATTGCTCTTCTTGGAGTCCTCTATGGTGAAAAGTGCAAAGCAGCTTTTGATTCTGTCACTAAAAGTGTCCAGACACTGCAAGGGCTACGCAAGGTGCTGATGAATTATCTGCATCAGAAGAATTCTGATAATAGCGGGGCTTCAAGATTTGTGGTGTCCAGATCACCAAATAACTGCTATGGATGTGCAACTACATTTGTAACACAATGTTTAGAATTTTTACAGGTGCTGGCAAAACATCCAAATTCGAAGAAACAACTTGTTTCGGCTGGCATTTTGTCTGAGCTATTTGAGAATAACATTCATCAAGGTCCTAAAGCTGCCCGGGTCCAAGCAAGAATCGTACTTTGTTCTTTATCTGAAGGTGATGTAAATGCAGTTACTGAGCTGAACTGTTTGATACAAAAGAAAGTTTTGTACTGCCTTGAGCATCATCGCTCCATGGACATTGCAGTGACCACACGTGAGGAGTTGCTATTACTTTCTGAGGTGTGTTCTTTGGCTGATGAATACTGGGAATCAAGATTACGTCTCGTTTTTCAGTTGTTGTTTTCTTCCATTAAGTTGGGTGCCAAACATCCTGCCATATCTGAGCATGTCATTCTTCCTTGTCTGAGAATTATTTCTCAGGCATGCACACCTCCAAAACCTGAGACGCCAGACAAAGAGCAAGTCCTTGGGAAGTCTTCTGCAAAGACGAAGGATGAGATTTCTCAAAATTTACCTGGGTCCTTGACCGGTGCTGTCAGTGTCGGTGGAACAAAGACATTTCCAGACTCATCAGAAAGAAATTGGGATGCCTCACCTAAGACTCAAGATATTCAGTTATTGAGCTATTCAGAATGGGAGAGCGGAGCTACCTATCTTGATTTTGTTAGAAGGCAATACAAAGTGTCTCAGGCAGTCAAAACTACAGGCCAGAGGTCAAGACCCCAACACCATGATTACCTGGCACTTAAATATGCTCTGAGATGGAAGCGTCGTGTTGGTAAAGCAGCTAAAAGTGAGTTATCAGTGTTTGAGTTGGGATCATGGGTTAAAGAACTTGTTTTGAGCGCATGTTCTCAATCTATCAGATCTGAGTTGTGCTCACTCATAAGCTTGCTTTGTGGTCAAAGTTCTTCAAAACGGTTTCGGCTGCTGAACCTAGTGGTTTCCTTGTTACCTGCAACACTTTCTTCTGGTGAAAGTGCCGCGGAATATTTTGAATTGCTATTCAAGATGGTAGATTCAGAGGATGCTCTTTTATTTTTGACTGTTCGAGGGTGTCTGCGGACGATTTGTACTTTAATTTCCCAAGAAGTAAGTAACGTTGAGTCTTTGGAAAGGAGCCTACACATTGATATAACTCAGGGTTTCATCCTTCACAAAATCATAGAGCTTCTTGGTAAATTTCTCGAGGTTCCAAATGTTAGATCCAGGTAAGATTGCTGCTTGAATAGCTTTAATTTGAGGCTAGTTTTTTTGAATAACATTATATCATTGTAGTATTTTTCATTCCAGATTCATGCAAAAGAACTTACTTTCTGAAATTCTTGAAGCCCTTATTGTAATTCGTGGCTTGATTGTTCAAAAGACAAAGTTGATAAGTGATTGCAATCGTCTTCTTAAAGATCTTTTGGATAGTCTGTTACTAGAAAGCAGTGAGAATAAGCGACACTTCATTAGGGCCTGTATCAATGGTTTGCAAATACACGGAAAGGAGAGGAAAGGGCGTGCTTGTTTGGTATGGATTTTTTTTTCTTTTCATTTTCCCAAGTGTTATAGCTTAAAACTTGTTCCTTTCTCTAAAATCAGCTGTGACAATTTTCTATCCCAGAAGAGGGTATCAGTTTGGTTATATAGGATTAGACCTAACAAAGAGATTAGATATTAAAGTTATTGTAGCCTTTTTACCTAGGGTCCTTCTAAACTTTGATGTGATCTGTACCTGTATTTGCAGTTTATCTTAGAGCAGCTTTGCAATCTGATCTGCCCTTCAAAACCCGAGCCTGTATATTTGTTGGTCCTAAACAAGGCACATAGTCAGGAAGAGTTCATCAGGGGATCAATGACCAAGAATCCATATTCAAGTACTGAAATTGGTCCATTGATGCGTGATGTGAAAAATAAGATCTGCCATCAGTTGGAGTTGTTAGGTCTTCTTGAGGATGACTATGGAATGGAATTGTTGGTTGCTGGTAACATTATTTCTCTTGATTTGAGCATTGCACAAGTTTATGAGCTAGTGTGGAAGAAATCAAATCAGTCTTCAAATCTGACAAATTCTAACTTGGTGTCATCAAATGCTGCCACCTCATCTAGATATTGCCCACCTATGACAGTGACTTATCGCCTCCAGGTGTGTTTCTCTATCAGTGACCTTGTGAGTTGGCTCTTTTGTTTAAACATTTGGTTTTGAATTTATCTGTTATATATGTGTACAATTTCTAGGGATTGGATGGTGAAGCAACTGAGCCTATGATTAAAGAATTGGAGGAAGATAGAGAAGAATCTCAGGATCCAGAGGTTGAGTTCGCCATAGCAGGCGCTGTTCGTGAATGTGGTGGACTGGAGATACTGTTGGGCATGATTCAGGTAGATCGGATTGCTTTCTTTTATATCTATGGTTCAACACACACTACATACATAATTCAGCGAAGGAAATCAATCCTTTTTTTTTTTCTGTTTAATTTATTGTATTTAACACTAATGCTATGTATCCTGTAACTTTGAGAGCTCTATAGGATTTGAGTAATAATTACAAGAAAAACTTGTGTAAAACCTACTTTTGTTGAGGCCACCTTTTCTGTCTGTTATTGGGCCTCTTGGTTTTTCATTAGTGCAGCGGCACATCACCTTTAGTGGGTTCAGGTGGTTGGTTTAGTTCCACATTTCCTAGAGATATGATTTTTGTGCTTATAAGGTTTGAGAAACCCTATCCTTCCAAGTTGGTTTTGACATATTGAGTTAGGTCTTAAGTCAATAAGTCACCACTGTTGACTATCCTTTTAAGAACATCAACTATCAAAGACAAGGATACCCTGCCTCTGAGGAAAATCTAACCTGTCACCACACATTGTGCATCTTTCATTGAGAATGTAGTTCTGAAGGAATTATGTAATTTGATTTTGTTGAGAGTCCAAAGTATTTATAAGTGAGAGGCGTTGCTCATATTATAAGCCGGTTTTGTATGGTTGAGTCAGGTTCACCCTAATCCTAAGATGGTATCGGTGTCTATTCAATATTTGCGGGACTACATGTTATCGGGTAACTCAGGTCATGCTCCATATGTCCAAACTGGGCTGTGAGTGGTGTGTTTTGGTAGTCCTATATTGGATGTGGTCTGGCCTGAAAGTGTTATAGGTGGGAGCTTTCTCACTTTGCAAACCATTTTTGTACAGTTGAGTTAGACTAAAAAATTTCTTTCCTTTTGTTATAGTTTTCTTGTATTGCATTGATCATGTCATTGTGTTTGATAGCATCATTTAGTATTGATAAATTCTAGCATCGCCGCATTTCTGATACTTTATTATAGGTCCATTCTCTAAAAAGTCAATCTAGCTGCCTAGTAAGTAAAATAACTTTAGAGTGTTGACATTTTATAGAAGAACCAATAATAGTGTGGTGTGTCAAAAACAAATTTGTAGCTAGCATTCTTCTTTTATAATTGCTTTGATGATATGATTATATTGTTGATCTCTATTGTTTAAGCCATCTATTTCGGAGGAAATTGTGTTTGCTTAGTTTATTTATTTTACAGACTTTCTCATGCACAAATACTATGTATCTTTGACGATTTTCATAAAATGTCCCATTCCGTTGCTTCTAAACTTATATTGAAATTGATAGTATGGTTTTCTCACTTTTCCTGATTTACAGCGTCTGAGAGATGATTTCAAGTACAATCAGGAGCAATTGGTTGCAGTTCTTAATCTTCTTATGTACTGTTGCAAAATTAGAGAAAATAGATTAGCTTTGTTGAAGCTAGGAGCCTTAGGTTTGCTTCTTGAAACGGCAAGACGGGCTTTCTCAGTTGATGCCATGGAGCCAGCCGAAGGCATACTTTTGATTGTTGAAAGTTTGACTTTAGAAGCAAATGAAAGTGACAGTATAAGCATCACACAAGGTGCATTTACTGTCACCAGTGAAGAAGCTGGAACAGGTGAACAAGCCAAGAAGATAGTTCTTATGTTTTTGGAGAGATTATCTCATCCATTGGGGCTTAAGAAATCAAACAAACAGCAGAGGAACACAGAGATGGTTGCTCGGATACTACCTTACTTGACTTATGGTGAACCTGCTGCAATGGATGCTCTAATCCAGCATTTTAGTCCGTACCTGCAAGATTGGGATGCATTTGACAGTTTGCAAAAACAACACTTGGACAATCCAAATGATGACAATATTGCTCAGCTAGCTGCAAAGCAGAGGTTCACACTGGAAAATTTTGTTAGGGTTTCAGAGTCACTTAAGACAAGTTCCTGTGGTGAGAGATTGAAGGACATTATCCTAGAAAAGGGTATAACTAAAACTGCAATGAGACATTTGAAAGATCGTTTTGCCAATGCTGGGCAGACTGGCTTCAAGACGAGTGCCGAATGGGCACAGGGTTTAACACTGCCTTCCATTCCTCTTATATTGTCGATGCTGAGAGGTTTGTCAATGGGACATCTCCCCACTCAAAAGTGTATTGAGGAGGAAGGTATCTTACCCTTGTTGCATGCCTTGGAAGGAGTTCCAGGAGAAAACGAAATTGGGGCAAGGGCTGAAAATTTGTTGGACACACTATCTAACAAGGAAGGAAAAGGAGATGGATTCCTGGTGGAGGAGGTGAGTGAGTTGCGGCACGCAACTAGAAATGAAATGAGGCGTCGGGCTTTGCGTAAGAGAGAAGAGATGCTTCAGGTATTTTATCTAAAATACCTTAATTTACATTGTTTAGATTTTCATAATTTGGCATTTTCTATAATTGAATAAAAAGAGATTGGGAACTAGCACTCTTTTGTTTCAACTCTTGAAGATGATGTTTCATGTGATGTTGGATTACTTGTTTTACTCGAAATGTATTAGAAAACTGATTTTCTCTTCTATTTTTGCCTTGTCTGTTGTGTATGATGCAGGGGCTAGGATGGCGGCAAGAATTGTCTTCAGACGGAGGTGAGCGCATTGTTGTTTCCCGGCCTGTCCTTGAAGGTTTAGAAGATGTGCAGGAGGAGGAGGATGGGTTGGCATGCATGGTCTGCCGGGAAGGATACAGTTTAAGACCTACTGATTTGCTGGGTGCTTACTCTTATAGTAAGCGTGTGAATCTAGGGGTAGCCACTTCAGGAAGTGCTCGGGGAGAGTGTGTTTACACCACCGTAAGTTACTTTAATATTATTCATTTCCAGTGCCATCAAGAGGCCAAAAGAGCTGATGCTGCTTTGAAGATTCCCAAGAAAGAGTGGGATGGTGCAGCACTTAGAAACAATGAATCTCTGTGTAATTCTTTATTCCCTGTCAGAGGTCCATCCGTTCCATTGACACAGTATATCCGCTTTGTTGACCAACACTGGGACAACCTTAATGCTCTTGGACGAGCTGATGGAAACAGGCTCCGCCTGCTGACATATGACATTGTTCTGGTGTGTTATTCAGCCTCAACATGCTATCTTTTTTTAGTTTTTAAATGGTGAACAGATGTAAATGATTAGATCAATTAGATAACTCGCTTTTTCTGGGTTTAAAACTTTAAATGTTATCTATAGAAGGATGTTCCTGCAATTATTTCTACACTGATTGGATTATGAGTTTTTGCCCCACTCTGGTGCTAATGCATGTCCCTCATGTTTGTAGATGTTAGCTCGGTTTGCAACAGGAGCATCGTTCAGTGCGGATTGCCGAGGCGGGGGACAAGAAAGTAATTCTCGGTTCCTCCCATTTATGTTCCAAATGGCACGCCATCTCCTTGATCAAGGAAGCCCATTGCAGCGTCGAACCATGGCCAGGGCTGTATCAGCTTATATTACCTCGTCTACATCAGATCTGAGACCCTCTTCTCTGTCTGGCACCCAAGTTACATTGGGAACAGAAGAAATTGTCCAATTTATGATGGTTAACTCACTTCTCTCAGAGTCTTACGAGTCTTGGCTGCAGCATCGTCGTGCTTTCCTGCAGCGTGGAATTTATCATGCATACATGCAGCACACACATGGCCGTACCACTGCCAGCCCATCGTCTGTTTCAGCTTCTGTACAAGGTGTAGGGTCTGGAAGTATTGGCCAAAGTGCTACTACAGAAACAGGGAAGAATGATGAGCTTTTCTCTATCGTTCGTCCAATGCTTGTTTACACCGGTTTGATTGAGCAATTACAGCATTTCTTCAAGTTCAAGAAATCGACTACTGCAACATCTACAAGTACTGGTGCAGCGGCTTCCTCTGCAACAGAAGGCGAAGATGAAAGTGGGAACCTCGAAGGCTGGGAATTAGTTATGAAAGAGCGACTCTCAAATGTAAAAGAGCTACTCAGTTTCCCCAAGGAAATGCTTTCCTGGCTTGATGACATTAATTCTGCTAGTGATTTGCAGGAAGCCTTTGATATCGTTGGGGTTCTGCCGGAGGTTTTGTCTGGCGGGTTCACTCGGTGTGAAGACTTTGTGCAGGCTGCAATCAATGCAGGGAAAAGTTGAAAATATTATGAACCTCTCTTTTCGTAATACAAATATCAACAGCATATCTTATATTTGGAGAGAATGTAAAACGCTTATGTACTATGTTCTTTTGAAAGCACAATGCTGATATAAAATGAAAAGGGATATTGTGATGAATATGAGCTTAATCTATTATTGCACGAAAACTAACATGTTTGAATCAAAGGGATAATATCTGAGAATCTCTTAATCCACCCTATAGGTGGAAAAACACCCTATAAAAATTTGAAAATGTCCCTTACATTTCGGAAATCTATTTAGGACGCATTTTAAAAATACACCAAATACTTCTGTAAGTGAACTGCATTTAAATTTTGTAAAAAAAAAACTGTCCAGAAATATATTTTTGGAATTCAAAAATATATTTTCGGAATATTTCCTTACTTTACCTCAATTTACTATTTATCTTCATCTCTTTTCTTTACTAAATTTGCATTATTATACCCGAGTAAAATTTATCACAACTGAGTAGTTTAAGAAGGTGGGGTTATGACAAAATGCTATTGTATTTTATTCTTCAGTCTTAGGTTAGTTTATATAGAGAAGAGACAATTGATATATTTAATTTTTTTTAATGGAGAATAAAGAAAAATGAAAAATAAAAGTGGCTATAAAGAAAATAATAAAACTGTTGTATTTTATTCTTCAGCCTTAAGCTGATATATAAAGAGAAGAGATAATTAATATAATTAATTGTCTCCTTAATATAGAATAAAGAAAAATAAAGAAAAAATAAAAGTAGCATAAAGGAAATAACAAAATCGGATAGATATTTATCATGTTCAACTTATCTATCAAATGTTCAAAAGTAAGTTGTCAAATTTTTGGTTAAGATATCCAAAGTTTGCTGACTTGAAGTCACGAAGGATTGACATATGATTTCAATATCTAACTTCTCTTTTATGAATTGTCGATCAATTTCGATATGTTTGATTCTGTCAGGTTGAATTGGATTATGAGCAACGCTAATAGCAATTTTACTATCAGAGTACAATTTTGATGGAAGTTCAATTTTCATCTTAAGTTCATCCAGTACTCTAAGGATTCATAATCCTTCACAAATACTTTGAGACATAGCTCTAAACTCGGCTTCTGCACTACTCCTTACTACAACTCCTTGTTTCTTGCTTCTCCAAATCACAAAATTATCCAACACATAGGTACAATATTCAAAGGTTGATCTTCTATCTGCGATTGAATCTGTCCAATCAACATCGGTGAAGATAAACACATTTCTTTCACTAGTCTTCTTAAAAAATAATCTTTTTTCAGGATTTCCTTTCAAATATCTTAGTATCCTATAGATGACCTCAAGATGTTCTTCGAAAGGAGAATGCATAAATTGACTCACTGCACTATCTGAAAAAGTAATATCAAGTCAGATGTGTGACAAATAAATCAATTTTTCAACTAATCTCTGATATCTTCTAGTATCAACAGGAATATTACCTTCTCCCTAAATTTTAGCATTAGGATTCATAGGGATATTTGTAGGACGACATTCACTCATTCCTGTTTCTTTCAACAAGTCTAGAATATATTTATGCTGTGAAACCACTATATCATTCTTTGACCAAGCAACCTCCATACCTAGAAAATATCTCATGAATCTCAAGTCCTTGATTTCAAAGTCAACTGCCAATTTCTCTCTTGCTATTTCCATTTCCATTGTATCATCTCCAGTACGGACAATACATTAACATAAACAATCAGAACATCAATTTTTCCATCATGGAAGAACTTTGTGAACAATGTGTGGTCAACCTGTCCTTGGATGTATTCTTGTTTCTTCATGGACTGGGTGAATTTTTCAAACCAAGCTCTAGGGGACTGCTTTAATTCATACAAAGACTTATTTAGTTTGCATACATTTGATCCAAATTTGTTTTCAAAGCTAGGAGCAATGTCCATATATATACTTCTTCTTCTTGATCACCATTAAGAAATACATTATTAATATCTAATTGATGTAGGGGTCAATCCGGGTTAGCAACAAGAGATAAAAGAATTCTGACATTGTTCAATTTTGCAATAGGAACAAATGTCTCAGAATAATCTATACTGTAGGTTTGAGTAAATCCTTTAGCCACCAAGCGAGCCCTGTACCTTTCAATTGATCCATCAGAATTATACTTCACAGTAAACACCCATTTACATTCAACTGTCTTCTTGCCATCTGATAGTGACATAACACTCTAAGTTTTATTCTTTTCAAGAGCTTTCATCTTCTTAAGTACAACTTCCTTCCACTTTGAAATTTCTAGAGCATCCTGTACACTTTTTAGAATTTCTACACTAGACAATTTTAAGGTGAAGGCATACATAAATGAAGATAAATTTGAATATGATATAAAATTGGACATGGGGTGTTTAATGCAAGATCTAACAGGTTTTTTAATGGCAACATGTTCATCTATATTAGGATACAAAATACGACTCTCAAAAATAGAGATAGACTTACCTTTTCTATTCTTAAGAGGTTGATCATTCCCCGGTTTAAATTCCTAATAGTGTTGTGGTGTGGACTCATCCCTTCCTTTGTGGTGCTTTTTTACAAAAACCTTCCCTTTCCAAGTCCCGTTTCCTAATTCAAACTTGTTTTCTTGAAGTGACTCATTATTTTGTGACATTTCAATTATATCATCATTTTCATCGTTTTCAAGATTCTCATTGTTTTCTACATGAGAAAATGTAGGCTCAGATTCACAGAGTTCCTTACTCATAATAAGAGTGAGATCAAATAAACAATCATGACCATTTTTTATTGGTGCAGAAGTATAAGTCTCAAAACTTTGTGATACATGCAAAGATAAATTATTTAAAAAATTCATGTCCTCGATTTGAAACAAGTCTTCCTTTATATCTCACCCATGAAGATGAGTGTCATAAAAAATGTTTATTTTCAAAAAATGTAACGAGCATAGTGACAAACAATTTCTTATTTTTTTGAATCAAAACATTTATATTCTTTTTGGGTTGGACATTATCCAACAAAAACACATTTTATAACACATGGTTCAAGTTTTTCAACATTTTTATGTTCATGAACAAAAGTTGTGCAACCAAATTTTTTTAATGTCAGATCATTTAAAATAGGAGAACTAGGAAAACATTCTTTGAAGGTATTAATTGGAGTTTGAAAATTGAGAGTTTTGGAGGAGATTCTGTTAATTAAATATGCAGCTATTAAAACAGCTTCGCCCCACAAATATTTTGGTACTTTATTTGAAAAAAGTAGAGCTCTAGCAACCTCCAATAAATGTCTATTTTTCCTTTCGGCAACTCCATTTTATTGAGGAGTATTAGAACATGAACTTTGATGTACAACCCCATTTTTTAGAAAAAACTCATCCAGGATAGTTAAAATATTCTTTTCCATTATCACTTTTAAAGACTTGGATATTTGTTTAAAATTGGTTCTGCACCATTGTAAATTTTTTTTTTACAGCCTGACAAACATATGATTCTCCTTTAACAAGTACACCCATCGTATGGTCATCTATAAATGTGATAAACCATTTTTTGAGAGAGAGTGTACTTGTACGGTTAGGGCCCCAAATATCACTGAATAATAGAATTTTTTTTTGATGGTTTATAAGGTTGTATTAAAAATTGGGAACGATGATGTTTTGCAAATTCCCATGCTTCACATTTAAACAAAGAAAGTTCTTATTATGAAATAACTTAGGAAATAAGTGTTTTAAGTAACGAAAACTATGATGACCTAATCTTAAATGCCATACCATAATATTGTCATCTTTGTTATTCAAAATAAAAAAAAACTCAAAGCGGGAACTTACTGTTTTTAAAGGTAGTTGTGATGCAGATCCAACATCAATGTAGTAGATTCCTCCACCTTCCTTAGCAATGCCATTATCTTCCCCGCGTTCAAATCCTGAAAGACACAGTGCGATCGGAAAAATTAGTTTGATAATTCATATCTTGGGCTAATTTACTGACAGTCATTAAATTACATGATAGTTTGGAACATGAAAAACATTTTTAAGAGTTAACACTAGAGACAACACAACTGAACCTTTACTTGCAATGGATGAAAAAGAGCCATCTGCGGTTTTTATTTTTTGATTAAGGTCACATGAACTATACGAAGAGAACATAATATATTCACCTGTCATGTGATAAGAGGCACCTGAATCTACTGTCCAAGTATGACTGAGACTGACACTAAGAAATGCAGAATTACCTTTTGTTTCTATAGAACAAGAAGGAGTTGAAGACCCGAGGAGTTTGTACAATTTATCTAGTTGTTCCGTAGTGAGTGGAAGCTGAGTCGAAGAGATTTGTTGCCCTTGATCAGAATTACTAGTTTGAAATGCACAGTCACCGCCCGACTCAGGTGGTGGTTGTTCTCCATGGTTGAATCTGATGTAGGTATGTGCTGGGGAAGACCACTCGTTGTTCTGATTCTCTATAGGGGGCTAAACGAGTATGTGAAGCGGGTCGGGTAAAAAAGCGAGTCAAGCGATTTTTTTTACTGTAAAACCCCAAACCACCCTAAACCCCACTAGTTGTAGGAAACTTTATAGTAAAACTCTAACCTAGTGCTCTTGATACCATATTGAATAAAATGATAAAATGTTATTGTATTTTGTTCTTCAGCCTTAGGCTGGTTTATATAGAGAAGAGACAATTAATACATTTAATTTTCTTATTAATGGAGAATAAAGGAAAATAAAGAAAAATAAAAGTAGCCATAAATGAAATAACAAAATTGGAAATATAATATTTTTCAACACTAGCAATTAGATGTAAGAAACTTTTCCAATTTTATCATAACTTAGTTCACCGCCACCCATATTTCCATGTATTTAGTGTTTTCGAAAATGTATTTTTAAAATAAATTTAGTTATAAAAATGAAGCTTCTAAAAAATGAATGAATTATATATTTTTGAGATACGTCTGAAAATACATTTCAAAAATTTAGAAATATTTTTTAGAATTTCACAAGATACGCTAA